CGTTGAGGTTGTTCAGCTGGGCTTGTGATTGCATGACCAAGGTCTTCCAATGCTTCGTGGTCAGCGGCACGGTGAACTGTGGCATGAGGTTGTCCTCAACCTGGTAGATGGCTTCTTCGGTCAGGAACTCATCGTATGAGCCGCGGTCACCAAGCTGCTCATCCAGTTGCAGATCGAAGGAAGGTTCCCAGCTCAATTGCTCGGAGTCAAAGGTGGACGTGAGGTCCAACAAATATTCTTCGTGGCGGCCAAGGACAGCATCTTGCCAATCATCATTGCCAAACCTGATCCTCTGCTGTGAGAAGTCGATCGTCATGTCGAGCGCCTTGATCACAGGGCGTCCAACCAACATAGGCGTTTCGCCCGACAGAACAAATCCTTGGATCAGGCCGTGTTGTCCATTCAAATAATATACTGGGACTTTGACCGTCCATGAGCTGACCTTTTGATGGTCACTGCCAAAGTGGAAGGTTCGTTGGCATCGATGGAGCTGCAATTGTGAGATGTCATAGCTGAGCTGCTGGATGTGGTTGACATAGCGAGCTAGAGGCTTTGACCCCATCAAAAACGAAGAAGCTCCAGGGTCCAACATAGCGCAATCAGGTCGTTCAGGTTCATGGCCTGCAGCATCTTCCAACATAACCAGTGAGGTCTCGTCGGTCAGGATGGCCATGCTTTCCACTGCTTGGCGTTTGCCTGAAGAGGTAGTTGATGGCTTCGGAGTTGCTTGCTGAGCGCACTGCGCTGTCTTGTGAGAGGTTGAACCACAGCGCACGCAAGCGGCAGCCAAAGCAGCGCGGCCTCTTCCTTTTGGATCTGACTCCTCCTCATAGTAGGTGTCTTCTTCGCCCCATTCTGCTGCGCTTTCATCGTCGCCGGCGAAGTAGGACCGGCCCTTTCCAGAATTGGAGCGATTCCATCGGTCTCGAAGAAGATTTCCTCCTCCTTTGTAGTCCTGACCCAGGATGGCGAACATTGCTCGCTGAACTTTTGGACGTTCCAAAGAGGCGGCTTGTGTCATGATCATCTTGATCATCTATCGTTGTTCGCGGGTCAGTGAGGCTTTTGCCAAAAGAAACCATCCTTGAACTTGAGTTGGAAGGCGAACTCCATGTTTCTCAATCTGCTTCAGCCGGTCGTCGTGTTCGGTCACGAAACTCAGCAGGGTCTGACCGGGTTTGCGGGCAAGGTTCTCGAAGTAGCTCGAGAAATCTGCCGGCATCTCCACGTTGGAGTCGTAGTGAAAGGAGCCGTCAAGGATCTTCATGATCTCAGTCAGGGCCTCAGGATCCTCCGCTTTGTCGATGCTGAAGTCCTCGCAAAGCTTCCAAGCCGCGCCGGACAAACTGCCCAGCAAGTTCAGTATGGCCTCTCCTTGTCTCTTGGACAAGGACATTTTCTTGTAGTAGATGGTGATTCTTTTCCTCCATTCCCGATATCCCGTTAGGGATCCATCGAAGAGCGGGATGAAACTGTCTCGAGCTGAATGATTGTCAAGCTCGACTTTCTTTTCTGATGACACACTCAACCAAGTAGGTGAGGTAGAAGGTGTTCACCAGCTAGGCCAAGCTCAGAGGGGTAGCGCTCAACAAGGAGGTAGAGCTCGTCAAGAAGCACTGCTCCTGAGCGTGAAGAAGAAGCTTTAGTTGTGGGTGAAGTTTCCGAGGAGGTTGGAGTGAACCTGGAAGGTGTGGAGGTTGTAGTTGTAGTGCGGAGTGGCAGGGAGCGGTCCGAGGATGACCGCTCCGCTACCAATGTCACTTGGACAGAGGTAGCAAAGCTAGGTAGCCCAAGTGGAATCCAAAGACAAACGAGGTTCCTTGGAAATCGAAGTGCGGGACACGGCACGCGAAGTCAGTGCCCTCTTTTCGCCATTGCTCACGAGTGCTGCAGCGCCCACCGCTAAAGGTGGTTTAGGGCCATATGGCCAAGGGAGTGGAACTCATGAAACAACCATATGGACATCTCATGTCCGTGGCTTGAGTCTTTCACAGAAACTCACAAACCTAATAGCAATGGCCTCCCTGGTTGCCAGTTGACTCTTGAGAGATGGTCACAGCACCACCCAGATCCGTTGATGTCAGACATCCAGCATCTCTTTAGTGGCATGGTTTTTCAATGATTCAAGAAAGAATAGTGATATATAATTATAAGGGTCTAAAGGCATTAAAGGCATAATGAAAAGACATAACAAAGTAGCAAGGCTACTCTTAGATTGCAGGCCATCGCTAGAAACACGTAGTTCAACAGTTCGACCGACCGACTCTCGCCTCCTTTTCTTGTCTGACAGAGGTGACGCGAGCCAAGGTTGCCAAGCACTCATGATGACTCGAACTGAGCAGAAAATCATTTGGACACGGTCACATTTGGACGGACTCAAAAGGCAACAGGTTAAATTAGGCATCAAATGACACCAAATAAAGAGGAATTCGAGTATGCAAAAGGAAATATGAGACTCCGTGGAACAGGTCGTGTCCACTTTGGTGCAACGAACCGAACTACCCCTGAAAAGGTTTTCTGGAAGTATTTCCATGAATGAACAAACATAGTGATTTTTTCAGAATTGGCTACCTACCCTGAGCGTGTGCACGTTGCATGTATTCTGCATTCTATGCAGATTGTTTGCCTGGCATGCTTTACACATTGGGCATTGCTTTGCTTGTTTGCTTCCGTGACAGCCCAACCAAAACCCCAAATAGGTTTATTAAAATCAAAAGAAAACACAACTACTGACCCAATACCATATGTCACATTGGTTCTTTTGTTTTTTGGTTATGTCACACAGTTGGAGCTGAAGTTCAACCCTTCAGACCATTATTTAGACCAGGTCAATCCATTGACCATTGACTGCTTTGTTTTGGTTTGTCTGTCTTGGTCCACTAATTGTTGGTTGTTTTGTAGTTATTTTTTTGTCTTGGTGGCCATTCCACTACTTGAAATAGCAAGTCCCCTTCTTAAACAAAGTTCCTTTCCTCCTTGGCTTGTTTGTCGACTATTGGTAAGCTCTTGTATTTCTGTTGGTAAGCTCTTTTACTGCTGATACAATCAATATGTTCCTTTAACTAAAGAAAGACCTTACTAAAGAACGTAATAAGCTAGACAAAATGCAAGAGGATTTACTAGCTTCTTCTATGTCGAGGCAAAACGAAGATATCTTTCTATTGGTTCCACATCTTTCTTGTGTCTTTGGTTTGGACAGCATGCCTAAACTGACTGCAGGAATAACGTCTGTGCCAGTAGTGTTCCTGTTTTTTGTCACAAAGTTCTTCAAATCGAACTTTCGGTACTCCCACAGTGGTTCTTTTGTTCTTGGGTTTGTCGCTTGTAGTTTTGTCAGTTAGCTCTTCTTCCTTGAAATCAGGTCTTCATTGGTGATACAACCGATTGAAAGATATAACAAACAATGTAATTCTATATAGTTTCTTTAACTCTTCCTCTCTCTCTCTCTCTTCCTCCCAGCAGGCTGCTCTATGGCTCCAGGTCTGAGGTCAAATGCAGGACTGATTGTTACTAGTAGTAATAGTAATGCCATGTAATGCCCGTGTTACCCAAGGAGCACCCTCTGATAGACCCTCAATCTTTGATTAAGTACCCCTCTTCTTGAGTCAGTGTGCTGTATTGGTAGTTAGCTCCTCTTCTTCGTATCCCTGCTTGTACAACATCCTGCTTCCCTTTGTTGAAGCAGCTAATGTAGGAAATCCAAATAGAAAAAAGGCAAAGGCAAAGAAACTTGTAAGAGGAAAACTGTTTGTGTCATGATGATGCAAGCTGAAAATACGCCTGCTCTCAGTGACCCACCTTCTTTAGTTTCTTGGGGAAACTTCACCTTTAGACCTCTCGTTTTTTCTTCCTTTCTTCTTTCCTCTTCCTTTCAAGAACAGTGGGAACAAGCTTGGACGACTTGAGTTTCTCAACAAATCTGGGAACCAAATCATTAGTGCGAGCGCTTCTTCAAGGAAGCAAAGGCTATCCTGCGGCTACTTGCAGGTAGTAGCTACCTCTAGCTACTAGCTACCAACCTCCTAGCGGCCTACCCCCACAAAAAGACTAAGATTAACAAAAAAACTTTAAAAACGGGTGTGAAAACTGTGGATGGCTCAACTTTATCTGGGGTCTCACACCAATTCACATCATTCCCTGAAGCGGCCTGGACGAAAGATCCGTGCCGAATCGTGTTTTGCGTTCTCTTCAGCGTGTTTCCCGCCTGGAGCCAAAGCAAGGTCCTCAAAGAACTTCCCCGGCAACAAGCTGAACTTTTACAACAAGAGATATCAAGAGTTGTTAACAAAGCAGTTGCCAAGCTTGATGTGTTAACAAGCTGGTTAAAAACATATCTCATATCTCACATCTCTTGCGCGAGGCACAGGAGCTTCAGCAGCTTCCCCTTCGAAATGGAAGTCGAATGATACAAAATAAAAAGATACTTCAAAGTCAACGAAAGCAATCCAAAAGAAATGAGAAACAAAGTCTGTTCTCGAAACAACACTCTTCAATCCTCGGCTTATCACATTCAATGTGCCTTCCAAATCTTCGTGCCCATCTCCATCGCTTCATTTACGAAACTGTGGACATAGAAAACGGAAACTCTTCCAAAACTGTGAGTTTTCCGAAAACTGCTAAATTTTTAAAACAATTGTGGACCTCTTGTGAAGGAAAGGAGTGCTAGTTCGCTGCACTGCATGCATGTTGGGCAGAATCCTGCTCTCGTTGTGGCTTGCTTGTGACAAAGTCTCACACACACGTGCTGCATATCTCTCTAAGTGGCGTAGTCCAAGAAATAGACAGCCCTGCGTCCCTGCACTGTTCATTTTCCATTGGATCGACAACTGGACGGGGTATTCAAGCGATTTCAAGCGCAATATGTATGAACAGATATAAATTTGATTGAATTTGTTGGAATGTGAGTGATGCCATCTGAGCGCTTCATGCGCAAAATCCAGAATCTAAAGCCTGGTGGCGAAAACCTAAGTAGCTGCGGTCCATGCCGTCGTTTTGCGGCATCAGAATCGGAAGGCCATCGCCACCAAAGCAGTCATCGCCTCAATTACAAACAACTCATCTCCTTTCATTCTGAGATGTACTGAACAACCAAAAAAACATCATTACACGTATAGTTTGGTCATGGCGGCGGCGATATGCAATGGACATTCAAATCCGTTCTGAACAGTTTTTCAGGCTAGGAGCAAGAACGCTACTAGGGGCTCCTGGCATCGCTACTAGTAACAAGTGCCTTACTAGTAGTAACAAAGAAGCTATTAGAAACTATTAAGTTTAAATGGAATTAAAATTCCAAAGGCGCTCCGACCTCTTTCCCTCCCTCCCTCTCTCTTAAAATCAGTGGCGAGCACTCCGAAGCCACATTCTGGTGATGAGGACTTCAGAGTCTGCAATCGAAGAGTCCAAAGAATCGAAGTCAAAAGGCGATCTTTGCGTTCGTCTTTAGACCATCTTTCCTTCTTTCAACCTTTTTTTGCACATTTTTCTTCTTTAGACCTGCTTTAGGGATGTTTTCTTTTCTTGACATTTTCCTTGTTTGACAATAATCTGTGTTGTGCTTGTTCTGGTTTCCCGTTTAGCTTCACTGCACTCGTTAGGTGGGGACTAGGCAGACTTTGTATACTTGTGACTCATATGACATCCCACGAACTTTCCAAAACACAACTGCCTCTCGCACACGTGGAGGAACGCAATGGATCTCTTCTGCCGGACAAAAAGCAGCGGCAAGTTCACCTCAAAGCAAACATAATATGCCTCGTCAATATGCATCAACCGATTTGTTTTGACAAAACGTAATGTCGACGATTTCTTGAAACACATCAGCTACTAGGGGCTCCTGGCCTTACTACTAGGACTACTACTAAGAGCAAGGACGCTACTAGGTCATGTCATGACATGGTGTTAGATTCTTTTGGCATCGGCCATGTGCCATCAGTGCTGTCTGCGTCTCAGTGGCGGTTGAGCAAAGCGAGATGAGCCTCCAAGACTGGTGGCTGTTGTTTCTCAGTCGCCTGCCGTGCTTGGCTGTGCTTTTTTGCAATCTCACCAACACTGACACTCAAAGCTTTGCGCACACTGATACAGTTATATGCATTTTGCGTGTGCAATCAAAAACGTCTTGAAATGGCACACACTGTTGGTATCGACTAGAGGAACAAATTTCGTAATTCCTCTAGGAGTTCTACTAGGAACAAGAAGCTACTAGGGGCTCCTGGCATCGCTACTAGGAGCAAGAAGCTACTAGGAACAAGGGCATCGCTACTAGTATCAAGAAGGGGCTCTAGGAGTTCTTGGCAGATTTCGAGTTGGCAGGATCAGATGTTGCACTCGAGCAACAGGGGCGACAGGTGGACAGCCACCGTAAAACTTCTGCCAGCTTGTGCGGCACGCACTTCTCTTGGGAGAATAACGTAAAAGCTGCTGAGCCCAGCAGTAGCCTAGTCTCTATATATAGAGCAGTTTTCTTGGTGGACCATGTGGGCTTCAGCTGCAGCATGCTTCAGCTAGCCGAATGATCCCCATCAAATAATTTAAGTTTGGTCTCATGTCTTGGTCAGTTGGCTGAGAATTCCAGGCCGCAGCAATGGACCACAGGAGAGAATGGACATCAGATGCATCCCCCTTTTGCGTTGCAAAGCTGGCGCTAGCGATCATGATCTTGGACCCGAAATTGCAAACTTTAGTCTAACAATTCCTAAAGACTTTAGTAGGTAATTAGCGATAAACAAAAACCATTGTCGCCTTCTGTTGTCCATCGTAAATAAGTTGACACGAACGCCACTAAGTAGCCCTCTACTCGCCCGAACTGAAGTCTTGGACTTGAAGTACCCCTCACTCCAAACAAGAACGCGTTGGGCGGCGTTGGGGCTACCCGTGAATCTTTCCCCAACATTCTACAACGGACGTGTACTCTTTAGAAAAGAACAGAATGAGAAAACACAAAACGAAGAACGGTTCAGGTCAAACGACAGGTCGCCTCTTTCTACTTAAGCGAAGCCATACGAAGCGTTTTTCTGAGGGAGTTTGCTTGAAGAACCCCCAGTTCCGTCGCAGCTTCTCGGACGCATTCACTCTTTCTCTTTCTTAGAAAACAACACACATGTTTTTAAGAAAGAAAGGACGCTACTAGGGGCTCCTGGCCTTACTACTAGGAGCAAGGACGCTACTAGGAACAAGTGCCTTACTAGTAGTAACAAGAAGCTAGTAGAAACAAGTGCCTTACTACTAGGAGCAAGGACGCTACTAGGGGACCACGTGGCTCGTTCCAGCCTTCAGGCGCAGCTCCGCCGCTCGAGTGTCGGCCCGGAGCTGTCGCAGTTGCAGCAGGAGCTGCGCCTCCAAGGACTCTGGGAGCTCCTCGAAACGAAACAAAAGGAAACCACATAACATAAAAGCACAAAACATTTCATTTCTGCTAGAAAGACAGGGAATTGAATGACTTAGACGTAGACCAGCATAAAGTAAAGCCATGTAAGACCACCAGTGTCTCTGCTTTTGCATCAGTTCCAACTCTCAGCACACAATGTGATGTCCATATGGACATGTCTTTCGATGGTTCCTTGCTCAAATAGAGATGCGTCATGCGGCGAACATACTCCAACTGAAGCGTCATTTCCTTGGGCGAACTTGACAAAGCAATGGACATGATGCAACTAGGTTGGAGGCCATCGCTACTAGGAGCAAGGACGCTACTAGGGGCTCCTGGCCTTACTACCACAAAATCCAAAGCACAGCACAGTGTCCCTCTCTGTTCGGGCCCAGCGTCCACAGTGGATCGAACAGGTGCTTTGTCCAGTCTCAAATGAAAACCACCAAGAATGCTATCACTCATCCTGGCGCTCTGCAAAAGCTTGGAGTTCCCAGTTCAAAACAAATGGAACTGCAATGACTGCCGGATCCTTTGTCTCTGATTGCCAAGCCCAAACTACAAAGTAGCAGGGCTCCTGGTGAGGAAGTCCCCAACCGTTAGCACAGGCTGTGCAGAGACGTTCCTTTCCACCAGCAGGAGCTCCTGACATGAATTTCTTGCCGTGGAAGTGCAATTTCACTGCCAGCTGGCACAAACATGACAACCAAGGGCATTCTGTCACATGTCCAAGTCAATCGTCGCAGTTAGTGTTACATAGTTCATGAAAATAAGAACACCCAGTCGACTTCGACATAATTTAGTGCTGACTTATCCTCAGCCTCAGTCAGTCCATAGGCTGGCAGCTTGGATTCTGCTCCTGCTTCCGAATCTGGAGTAACTTCTTGGCAGAGAGGAGGCCAGTCAGCAACTTCTTGATCAAGTGCCTAGGGTCACTCCAGACTGCCCAGTGACTACCCTTCCGCTACATGAATGAATAGCACAAATAGAGGTTTAGAAATGACTATTAATTAGTCAGCTTCTGCCCGACTGCTATGTGACAACTTGTCGTTCAAACTGAGGGAAGAAGCTTGTAAGACAAGCTCAGTTCTTTTCGTCATAATGACTGGCAAAAGGACCTTGTGACCTTCTCTTTCTTTTTTTCGTTTTCTGTGGAGAACAGTGTTCTAGCAGTCGTTCAAGTGTCACACTTCCTTTCAATCGAAAGTCTCACTTCCTTGGGCGAGATCGATGCTCTCCACTTCATCCACCTGAGCCGGAAAGAACTTCACCGCTGAGCAGTGCAAGACCTTCTCATTGTCTCAACTAGGATTCCTACCAATTGGGATACATTACGATACTTTCTGCAAAAAACACCGAATTCTGAGGATCTATGGGCAGTATCCCAAGTGAAGGATCCAAGTAAAAGCAACTAGTTTGTCAGTAAAGATTTGAATTGCTATCAAACTGGCCTGGTGTTCGCTCTGTCTCTTGCAACAAACACTCAATATGTATATATATATATATACATATAAGCACTTTCCATAATGTGTGGCGGGTCGCCCTTTTTAAAGCATGGTGTATAAACGGTAAAACTATATTTTTATTTTTAACGTGTTTCATTCGCGGGCGCCATTGGGTACCCCTTAGCAACACAACGCACGCGAACCGGCTTAGCAATGGCCTGCAACCTACTAGCAATGGCCTCCAAGCTAGTAGCAATGGCCTCCAACCTAGAAGCCATGGCCTCCAACCTACTAGTGATTGCCTCCAATCTAGAAGCAACAGCCTCCAACCTAATAGCAGCCCAATAGCAATCGCTTCCAACCTACTAGCAATGGCCTCCAACTAACAATGGCCTCCAACCTTATAGCAATGGCCTCCAACCTAATAGCAATGGCCTCCAACCTACTAGCAATGGCCTCCAACCTACTAGCAATGGCAAATGGTCTCCAACCTGATAGCGATGGCCTCCAACTCAACCTACCAGCAATGGCATCCAACCTCAGCCTAGAATCAAGCAATGGCCTCCAACCTACTAGTGATGGCCCCAACCAAATACCAATGGCCTCCTACCTAGAAGCCTAGCAATGGCATCCAACCCAATAGCAAGGGCCTCCAACCTAGTAGCAATTCCTTCCAACCCAATGCCCTCCGACCAAATAGCAACGGCCTCCAATCTAATAGCAATGTGCTCCAGCAATGGCCTCCAGCCTCCAACCTACTAGCAATTGCCTCCAACCTACTAGCAATGGTCTCCAACCTAGTAGCAATGGCCTCTGACCCAATAGCAATGGCCTCCAACCTACTAGCAATGGCCTCCAACCCAATAGCGATGGCCTCCACCGTAGCAGCGATGGCCTCCAACCTACTAGCAATGGCCTCCAACCTAGTAGCAATGGCCTCCGACCTGATAGCAATTGCCTCCAACTTGATAGCAATGGCCTCCAACCTAGTAGCAACGGCCTCCGACCTAATAGCAATGGCCTCCAACCTAGTAGCAATGGCCTCCAACCCCAATAGGGATGGCATCCAACCTACTAGCGATGGCCTCCAACCTACTAGCGATGGCCTCCGGCCTACTAGCAATGGCCTCCGACCTAATAGCAATTGCCTCCAACTTGATAGCAATGGCCTCCAACCTAGTAGCAACGGCCTCCGACCTAGTAGCAATTGCCTCCAACCTGATAGCAATGGCCTCCAACCTGATAGCAATGGCCTAAGTGTATCTGCGGAGGCTGCTATCAACCCCGATTGCACCATTAGGATTTGGGACAGCTCCGCTCCAAGATCCAGGCTTTCCCCTCCACGACAAAGGGCATGGCCTGCCAACTTGAGCTTGATCTCAAAACCAAAGACTCAAAGACCTTGTCCTTAAAAGAAGCTACTAGTAACAAGGTGCCTTACTAGTAGTAACAAGTGCCTTACTACTAGTAACAAGAAGCTACTAGTAACAAGGTGCCTTGCTAGTAGTAACAAGTGCCTTACTACTAGTAACAAGAAGCTACTAGTAACAAGGTGCCTTACTAGTAGTAACAAGTGCCTTACTACTAGTAACAAGAAGCTACTACTAACAAGGTGCCTTACTAGTAGTAACATCGATGCACAATCGAAATAATGCTCAATCGATCTGTGCGTGTCACTCCCCTCGTCTCTTCGCTCACCTCTACAGGAGGCAGCAGCCCTGCTTGGCTGGGCCGCAACAAGGTCAAAAGCGCTTCGAGCGCCCGCCGCTGAAGGGCCAAGGGCACTGGTCGCCGTGGTCGCGCCTAATGCTCCAAGTTTCAAGAAACGTTTCAACTAGGGAACCTTGTTACTAGTAGCGTCCTTGCTCCTAGTAGCGATGCCAGGAGCCCCTAGTAGCGATACCCCTGGACCCATGGTTTGATGCTGCATGCGCTTCCCAAAATTGACCAAAGACTGCGCCACTAGCATCGACAATGCCTCCAAAATGGAACGGGTTCGGTAGGGCGTTTTGCCACCCCCCTACTCTGATTCCAAATTCTCACTTCGTTCGGAAATAGACAACTCCAGCCTTGCCTACCGACTGGTTTTCGATATTATTGAAGAATACTTGCTTCCGAGTTTCAAGATGTTTCAGGAGTATTTTGGAGTGCATCTGAAACTTTGCTAAAGGCTTTCGTTCTTATCGTCTTTTTAACAGGCCAAAAGGTAAAGGAAGCATGCTCAAGCCAAGGCAGTTCGAGGTTCACGCTTCCAAGCAAAGCCACGTTGTTTGAAAATGAAACGATTCTCGCTCTTGAACAATTCACTCTGAAAAAAATCACGTCTGGCGGAGAACAATTTTTAGAGTATTGTGCCGTCCAAGTACTGCATTCCAGTTTGTAGCCCTGTGCAAGTAGCGATTGTCGATGCCGCCTATCCAAGGCACCAAGCCTTGATTGGGCAATCTGGAATTAATCGGATTTGTCTTGAAGTTGAGCAGTTCGGACATACAAGCTAAACATAGCTAAACAAGCTGCTCACAAAGAAGAGTCGAGCGCTTGAAGGAAGCTGAACATTCTTCGGGAGACTCAGCAAATGCTGCTTCGAAGCTCTTTCCAGTGAAAAGGGCTTCCCTGAGAAGCAGGTCAACATGGAAAATGCCCACCCATTGCCAATGGTCGTGCGAAAGCATTGCACAGCTCAATTTACCCGCTTTGATTCCATTCGAATCCTTCATGTTCTGTCTTCCGGATCCAGTCATCTCTTTTTGATCTTCCTTTTTAGACTTTGTTTAAAATAGTTTTTTATATGAAAGAAGAACATGTCCTAGGAATTTTCAGTTTTCGCCTCATCAAAGCCTTCACCGCAGCTCCATATTGCCGCCAGGAGCCATCGACCTGACCATCCCGATGCAAATCACTGCACTGCCACATACCTTCGCAGAAGCCTTCGCATACCTTGCTGTTGATCTCTTTGATCCAGGGCTCTCTACACCTCTACGCTCTCTCTACGCTCTGTGTCTTCATTTGGTGAATCTGAAAAAAGAAACAGGTTCCAATCCTTTTACAGGCTTGTATAGTCTTGAAAATAGGTCTGTCATCTTCGCTTGCCGTTTGCTTTTCGGATTATTCGATTCCTGACCTGCACAAACGTCTTGTGCAAGGACTTCTGAGCGGCGGCCAAGCGCTGGATCCGGTCCTCGTGGTAGGCCACTGGGTCCTGATGGTAATCAATTTGTGAACGGACACGAACGGAAACACTGAAACACTATGAAACACTGGATCCCCAAGAACTAAGAGGTTCAAACCACATGGTTTCCTCAAATGTATGTCTCCTCTCCCAAGTCTTCCATCATGCAATAGGGATCTTCACCCATTACATCGCCATCGTAGCAAACGTTGAATGCTTCGGCTTCCAGAAGAATATCATGCCTCGACGAAGCGCGAGCATCACGTCGGCTATCGACAGCCGTTAGACATTCGTCGCTAGTCCCGTTCGCTCTTTTTACATGTTACTTTCCTGTTTAAAGCCTCGTAATACCTAACTAGGAATGTAGTACCGGCTACTTAATTGATAACTCAACATCCGACGTCTCATCCGATGAGCGACGGAGCTGTCTCAGACTCGGCGTATCCGTAGAGGATGGCCAAACGATCCTCAGTGACGTCACCAGAAATGAGAAAAAACATGAAGAGGTTCGTTTGCAGTTTCAAGAATCATAAGGTCGTCTAAAAACCAATAAAGGCCAAGAGAAGAAGAAAAACAAGGATTAAAGTATATTAAAGTTAAATATAGGCATTGAATTTGGAGGTCAGCAACTCATTCGACCTTGCGTGTGGCAAATCTGCCAAGCGGCATACTCGCCAATGGTTGGTGGAAATATGTGGACTGGCGTCTTGTTCCTGGGGAGATTCATCGGCAAGTAGTCCATAACACCTTGGGAACTGTAGATCGGTCATTCGCCGGTCTCCCTTCGATTTATGCCTTCATTTCTCACATATCACATACAATGTAGCTCTAGGATGCCCAAGAGCTTCAACAAAGACCTATCTTCCTCCACAAACGCCTTATCAAACAGGACAGCAGGTTGCTGACCATGTAAAACAAATGATCCAAACAAAAGAACATCTGCCAGGCTTCTGAATTTAACACCTGTACAACGTCATGAAAAAAATGTTTCTACGCCAAAAGCTTGGCAGCTCCTGTCCGAGATGCTTGAAGAGATGCTGTTGATTCCAGTGCAGGTGATGTTCTGCAAACAGTGCTGACTGATAGCAGTGCTGCCCTTGAAATTGTGCCTACGACAAAATTCACAAAGGATCAAAACGTGCGCACAACAAAAAGAGTCGTGTTTTGAGGAATCATGAAACAGGTGTCTCTTCTCACGCCTCAAGCCAAGGATATGCCCCATTTCATGCATGATGACGCTTCGAAGCCCTTGTCCCATCAATACCTACAGGGAAAGGCCAACTTAGCTCACACGAGGTCTTTTGACTGAAGCCCTGAAGAAAAACACTAGCAATGGCCTACAACCAAATAGCCATAACCTCCAACCTAATAGCAAAAACCTCCAACCTAATAGCGATGGCTTCCAACCTAATAGCGCTGGCCTCCAACCTAATAGCGATGGCCTCCAACCTAATAGCGATGGTCTCAAACCTAACAGCAATGGCCTCCAACCTAATAGCCATGGCCTCCAACCCAATAGCGATTGCCTCCAACCTAATAGCAATGGCCTCCAACCTAATAGTGATGGTCTCAAACCTAACAGCAATGGCCTCCAACCTAATAGCAATGGCCTCCAACCTAATAGC